CTCTCTCTCTCTCTCTCTCTCTGTGTCTGTGTCTCTGCGGTTTTCTGCATGAATAGAATAGAATTGCATCCACGAGTCACAAGAATTGAACACGTTTAAAAAAAAAAAAAAAAAAAAAAAATTGAACACGTGACCTCCCACATTGGAGTCGAACACAACCAAGCAGCTGATCTGAAGCCCCAAGATGAGTAATTAATCCCAGCCCGGCACGGATTTGTCCGGGTCACGGTGTACCCAGTCACCCACACACCTCGACCTCAGTTCTTGCGGGGTGGCGAAGTGCACCCTCTCTCCCTCCTCGTCCGTCTCTCCCTCCCTCTCCCTCCTTCCTCCCCCCCTAACTAAGCGGTGTTGTGCGTTCCACAGTTCTCTCGGGGTGGCGAAGTGCACCCTCTCTCCCTCCTCCTCCGTCTCTCCCTCCCTCGCCCTCTCTCTCCTTCCTCCCTCCCTACCTAAGCGGTGTTGTGCGTGTAGAGGTGGGAGAGTTCCGCTTAAACACTCGGCCCAAAAGTGAAATAGGTTTATTCGCCCGGTGTGGCGGAGTGCACCTTTACATCCCTCCTTCCCTCCATGCCATCCCTCCATTTGTTTAGGGCGGTAACTCCATTTTTTTGTGGGGTTGCGATGCTGCAAGCGGGACAGGGTTTGGGGGAGAGGAACACTAGGGGAGGCGAGGTGGCTGGTCAGGCAGGGAGGAGAAGGTCGCCATCGAAATCGTGGGGGTTGGAGTAGCCAGACAAAAACGAAGGGGGATGGGGAGGATGCGTGATCAGGAGAATGAGAGGGTCGGTATTTCGTCCGTCAGTATTGGGGATGCCGAAGCAGGAGTGTCACCGGAATACCGTGAAGCATGAAAGTTCAGGTTGCTGACGTTAGGGAGGTCGTGGATGGGGAAGACGAAGACGGGTCCTAAAGTGAATGGGAGGAGGATGAAGGCGGGGACCCAATTTGTGAAGAAGGGGATGGGGTACGCGGATTGGGTGGCGGGGGCGGTCGATTGGGAGGATGTGGGATGGGGAGGAGTAGAGAAGGTCGGAATGTCAGCCAATCAGGGGGAGGATGTAGGAACCGATGAAGTGGAGGTGAAAAAATGCGAAGGTTGCAGGGTAAGGAATCGAGTTTGTGTAGGGCGATACGGACAAGGTTGGGAAGAAGAGATTGGAAGGCAGGAAGAGGGACTCAGCGCGGAGGGAAGGAGCAGGCTTGTAAGGAAAGGAGAGCAGGATAATGACGAAGGGCCTGAATCACGAGAGGGATACGGTAAATGTGAATATGCAGGTGATGGAGAGAGCAATGAAGAGAGAAAGAGCGACAGACAGAGGAAGAGAGGAAAGGACACACCAGACTGCAGAGGCCACACCAAGTATTGGAGTAGGAGCTCGAAGAAGATCTTAACAGGGAAGAGAAAGGCGTGGAGAACGAGGGGAAGAGAGGCGACAGACAGGACAAGGAGACAAGAGAATGGGAATAGCGGATTGTGGGGGGAAGATCAGGGAGGGGAATGGGGGGCACAAGTTGAAAGATGGAATTGGACTGGCGGAAGGGAGGCGATCGAGAAGGAAGAAAGGGAAAACGGGAGAGAGAGAGAGAGAGAGAGAGAGAGAGAGAGAGAGAGAGAGAGAGAGAGAGAGAGAGAGAGAGAGAGAGAGGGCGGGGCGATCACAGAGGGAATTTGACTGTCGTTAATGGCCGGACGCACCCCTTGGAGCGCGAGAGAGAGGGACTGAAAAGGGGAAGAAAAGGAAAAGAAAGCGAAGAGTGACGGATGAAGAGATGACGAGAGGGACAGGGCAGTGGGATAGTAAACTTGGGGCCGCTATCTTCTCTTCATGGAGGCATGCCCGTCCTCGTATTGTGTGATATTACTACATCCTTTGGGCGCTACCTGTTTCTGTGTGCTCTGCTAATGCTTATTGTTTCTTCACGTCTTGGAGTCTAATTGATTCTCCCCCTTCACTTTATTGCTGTATTTTTTTGGGTCCAATTTCGATCTCCGTTCTACTACCATCTTCACCCGTATTGTGTGATATTACTACATCCTTGGGGCGCCACCTGTTTTTTTTCTTTGTGCTCTGCTATGCTATCGTTTCTTCACGTCGTGGAGTCTAATTGGTTCTTCTCCTTCACTCTATTGCTATCTGTCTTTTTTTTCTTCCAATTTCAATCTCCGTTTTACTACTGTCTTCACCCGAATAGAACGCCCGGTCATTGTATCTAGACTGAAAGTTGCACGAAATACAGCTATAATGACCGGGCGTTCTTTTCGGGTGAAGACGGTAGGGGGAATGCTGTCAGAGCTGTTGCATCTGTCCTCTTCTTTTTTCATATTTCGCGCATGCCAACGCTGTTGACGTCCACGGAAAATGCTCATCAGCTCTGCGTCGGAATCAAATGCAGAATTGGTGCTCGCATCTTAGTGCTTTTTATCAAGTCAGGATGGTCATCATTTCGGCAACTACTCCTCTTAAGTGAATGGATTTTGAATCGGTGAAGGGATTTTGATTAAACCGGTGAACAGGTGATTGGTTTCATCGTTTCTTTTTTTCCGCTGCGGTTTCTTCGTATTTACCGCAATCATCGAGTATCAACTTAATTAATCCATCGACATGCTACACACATCATCAGCTTGTTATCACGCTTTGTTATCTTGCTTGTCTCTCTCTTTCACTGCATCTCTCTCTCTCTCTCTCTCTCTCTCTCTCTCTCTCTCTCTCTCTCTCTCTCTTTAAATATGCTGAGATAGGGGTGTTTCTTACTGGCCTTCCCTCTGTAGGGACGGAACTTGAATAGCCGAGGGAGAGTCGGTCTCGCCAGCTGGTCACTTTGACAGAATACGGGATGTCCATTTAACGAAACGTCCATATAGTAAACAAAAGATTAAACCCTGCCGTCAACAATAGTTGTCATTGATAAGAATAGCCGAACTGGCTTTACCTGTAGCATTCCGAGATGGTGAAAGGGTTTTTGTCGACCAGCCCATCTGCTGAACAATTGCAGTGATCAGAGCTGTATATGCCGTTGTATCGTCTATATCTATTGTATCTTATATGTCCACGCTGCTGCTGCTGCTGATGATAATGATCATTATCCGTATGGTAATGGATGGAATGTGTTTGGTTTAGCCCTTCTTCTGAAGGGCTGTGGTGATGATGCTGATGATGTAATAATGATTGGGATGGTGATGATGAATGTGGCGCTGGGGGACGTTAAGTTCCCGAATGGTGGGGGGGAATTTGTCCTCCCTGCTTTCTGAATGGCCAAATCGGAAACGTTGGAAGGATGGAGGTCGAAAGGGGGGGAGGAGTGGGGGTTTGTGCTTGTTTGGGGGACGCTTTTGATTTCTTGCCAGGTGACTCGAGATGTCTGGGGGATGCTTTTCATTTCTTGCAGGGGACTCGAGATTTCTGGTCACTGGTTCAACCCGATCAAGCGGCAAAGTTGTGGGATGTGGAAACTGGTGTCCAATCATATTCCTTCACTTGCGAGACTCCCGCCAGCCAGGTCTGTGGCGTTTTCAGAGGGCGGAAAATTCCTGCTGATAACAACGGACCGAACGACTAAAAGAACGGCCCTGGGTGTATTATGACGGATCCCCTAGGGCTGCGAACAGCACGATATTCCCTTTAGGGGAAGCTCATCTGGTTGGCTTGCCAGTGCTGAAGTTTGTCGCGGTCCGGTCTAAAAAGGGAGTGCACGGGAGCTTGACTATGGCGATGCTATTTGTAGACTTGAGGGGGATTCTGGATGAATAGTGTTGTCAAGGAAAAGCGGGCGAGCATCGGACGAGTTGTCCCAGTAGGGAAGGGGATCTAGGGGAGGCCTTGTGTTCGTGTGAGAGCGGCTCTGTCTCTCTCTCGGCTTTTTGCTGTTTGGGAGCGGTTGTCTGTGTGTAGCACGTGGTGTAGCTCACGATGTAGAAGAGCCCGCCGATTATTTCAAGGGGTGCGGGAGCAATTTGCCTTTTCGCGATGCGACCTGCCGTGGTGAAGTCTTGAAGTGGGATGATATCTGCGCCGCATGGGCTGGAGCGGGGCGATGCGGGAACCCCCCGCGCCCAGTCCCGCGCAAAGAAACGTCGGGACCCGGCTTCGCACAAGCCGGACTGCAGGTGTGTGATTTGCGAACAGAGAAGACGGAAGGGAGCCGCCTTCATGCCCAGTGCTTTGCCATTAGATGGGCATTCGACTGATGCGGCTATACTGAAAGCGTGTCGTGCTTTCCAGTTGGAGTGTGGGAGGGGCACGGAGGATGGAGAGGAGAAAGGAGCTAAGATCCCCGTATCGGAAAGCTTTCCTTCCTTCGATCAAGACTTTCGAGTGATGAGAGAGGGAGCGTGGGAGGGATGGCCTGGGGTTGACATGGGCGGTCAGGGAGAGGACTACGGCGCCGCGGGCATGGACAGGGAGGCTGAGGACTTAATTGAGGGCAGTGGGCTCGCCGGCAATGGCCCTGACTGTCGGGATCGAGCGGGCGGTTATCCGATGGAGGCAAGGAGGGGCGAACGCTATACCCCGCATGGAGAAGGTGGCGGTGACGGAAGCCTTGCTGCCGCCGTGGCGGACGTCATCCGAGGCGCCAATGACGAGGACGATGATGACAGCCCGGATGGTGGTGACGTAGGAGGTGGGGATAGGCAAGTAGCAGCCGAGGGACGACGGAGAGTAGCTGGCGAAGGGGCAGTCGTGGGGGTTGCTGGGCTTGGTGACGAGCTAGACCGAACAGGGGAAGAAGGAATCAATGCCAACTACGAAGGTGACGGACGAGTGGAACTTGCGCAAGCGAGAGTAGACGTCCAGCATCAGGATGCTCGGATAGACGAGGCCGGGAAAAGGAAGCAGCCAGAAAATTGGGCAGAGGTTGGGAAGCGCGATGAGGAGGAGCTGTCCGAGGAGGAGGTGGAGGAGGAGGAGGTGGAGGAGGAGGAGGTGGAGGAGGAGGAGGTGGAGGAGATGGAGGAGGAAGAGGAGTCTTATGTGCACGGAGGTCAAGGTCAAGGTCTTACATCCAGAGCGGTGATGAAGGTGGGAGCGGACGTTGGGGGCGTGGAAGGTGACGTGGGAAGCGGGGGGCTATCGTTCGGGGTTGTGCCTTATAAGGTAAGGGCTGATTGCGGCTTTTCGGTAGTGGGTCGGGCCAGGCAAGCGGTCGCACGAACGCTGGGTGCGCGGCAAAAGGGAAAGAGAGGGAGTGGAAGATCCGCTAAAGTACCTTCCATTGGGAAGAGGGGCGGTGGCGTGCAAAATCACAAGCCGGAGTGCCCATGCATTGTCTGCAAACAGGCTAGAGTGAAAATGAAGAGAATGAAGGAGGAAGGGATGAAGGGAGGGGCCACGCCATTGCCGTCGCCATCACCGGCGGCAATGTTTCAAGCGAGAATGCCGAAGAAGAAATTGAAATTAGCGGCGCCGCACTGTGGGAGTATTAGAGAGAGACGCGGTGCAGGCGAGAAGCGCGATGGAGTGGGGAGAGGGAGAGGGAGAGAAGGGGTAATGGAGAGGGTGGACGGTGGTGGTGTAGATTGCGAGAAAAACGAAGGGGTAGGGGAAAGAAAGAGAGGCCGCGAGGGGGAATTCGGGGATACCGAGGGGCAGAGGACTCGGCGAAGATTAGAAAATATGAACGGGATACGGAGGGGGGGCATAGGGGTGGGCGGCGGTGGGGGAGGTGCCCGGGAGCTAGCTGGCGAAGAGTGGGATGAGGATGGTCACGGAAGGCGATCGAACGAGACCGAAGAGAGTGAGGGCGCAGATCGCGGGGATAGCCACGGTGGCGATGCTGTCCAACGTGTTGATGACGACGGGGAAGAGGAAGATGATGAGGAAGATGATGAGGAAGATGGTGAGGAAGATGATGAGGAAGAGGATGAGGATGATGAGGATGATGAGGATGAGGATGATGAGGATGATGTCGAGGAGGAAGGCGCTGGCGTCCATGGTGGTGAAGAAGGTGAGGAGGGAGGAAACAACCAGTATGATGATCAGGAAGAGGAAATTGGGGATGAACATGACAAAGGGAACGGAGAAATGCGCGGAAAGAAGAAGTTGAAGAGCTTTGGCGATTGCGAAGTGCCAGGAGGAAGGGTGTCGAACAGGGAAAGAGAAGCTGGAGCAGCTTTTACAAATCCATCTTCATCGGGGCCAAGGAAAAGGGTGGTGAGAGTGTCGTCCGCCGTATTGGCGATTCCGAGAGAGTACGAGCTCTACAGAGAAGACAGGGGGCAGCATCCAGGTAGGTGACAATCGATCAGAACAACAAGATTCCAGTAGTTGGGAGAGAGGTAGGGAGGACGAGGGGGTGATCTCGTAATCCATCATATGACCTACTCAATGCCGTCACTTGGCGATTGACGTTAGGGAATGGAGCTTATCTGTCCTTGTTATGCCAGGCACAGTCAATGGTATCGCTGGCGTGCCTCTGTCGCCCTCTTCCTCTCTCTCGACACGCAGAGACATACGCGCCCATGCTCATACGCAGATCGACTGCCACCCAATTTCTCGCAATCCATGATATGACCCCTGAGCGCTGTCATTGACGATTGCCGCTGGGGAGCAACGCTTGTCCATACGGTTTGTGCCAGGCATAGTGAGGGGTACCACTGGCGTGTCTCCCTCGCCCTCTTCCTCTCCTTTTTGCTCTCACACACACAAGCGTACGCACCATTATTACGTATATCGTGGACTCCACGCCGTCATTTGCCCATTCTCGCTGGGGGATAAAGCTTGTCCATGCTTCTTCCGCCAGACATGTTCACTGTTACCTCGGGCGCGTCCCTCTCGCCCTCCCTTTCCGTCTCTGACACACACATAGTCATACACACTGAGAATACTTCCCGGTATTCACACCCAGCTACAAGCATCATTTGTTGTCGATGCAGGGATGTTTGGTATCTTGTGTGGCTGTCTTTGCGTTCCTTTTGTGGTTCACGCATGCACGTTCCTTTTGTTTACGACGTCCTCCTCTCTTCTCCATCCCTGCTCCCCTATCCTTCCCCCTCTTCCCCTCTCCTCCTCTTCTCCCCTTTCCTCCCATCCCTCGCGTCTCCTCTCCTCCTCTCCCCTCCTCCTCCCCTCCTCTCGTCCCACCCTCACTCCTTCCTTCCCTCTGCTCTCATGCCCTTTCCTCTCCGTTCCTCCCTTGTCCTTCCCTCTACTCCCCCTCTCCCCTCTTCTCCCTCTCTATGCGGATGAGTCTGTGAAAGTCCGACGAAGCAGTCTGTGCATCACCTTTGTTGATTGGATTGAGTTTTGTGTCTCTCTTTTTTCAAATCAAAATGAAAAGGGAAACAGTTGTCGGTTGTACGACACGGGTAACTGCCAGGCATGGAAAAAGCAGACTTTTGAGGTCATGTTTTTGCGTGGCGGTTCTTTCTCTCCATCTTCCTGTTATTCTCGCTTTTCTGTCTTCGCTTTTCCTTCAACACTGTTTTCTGTTCTTTTTCGCATCTCGTCCCGCTCATTCACACTCTGCAAATAGTTGCGTGGCAATGTGTCTGAAGAAGAACAAATAAACAAAAGGGTGTGTCATTTTTACCTCATGTTGTCTCTACATTCCACCATCTCCTCGCCCGTATGCGCTCTTTTGTTCAATAGGCTGTGTGGCAATGCATAGGAACGTTTATTCCTCCTTCGACCAGGTAAGTTAGGATCAACGTGAAGCGATTTGGACAAACGAAAATTCAATTGGACGACTATCAATATCAGAACGGATTTGGACAGCTGATATACGTTGGAGAAGTGATGAGCATTTTGGACATACCAGATTTAGGTTGGGAGAAATGATGAGCAGTTTGGACATACCAGATATAGGTTGCGAGAAATGATGAGCATTTTGGACAAAAGGATTTAACAGTTTGGACTATTCATAGAGTTAGGCAGATTGATTTAACAAATTAGTATTGCCAAAACCACTTTTAGCCCAACAATCAACCGATTTGAGATTCTGCACAGACCATCGGGACAGACAAAGAGATCAAATTAGTGAAGGGATTTTGCATGTTAGTCACATGCGTCTGAATCACGGGCCTGCTGCTCCCGTAAACTATAGACCGTCCACACACGTGAGTGACGCACGATTTTCTGTGGGGACCACCAATGTATGCTCTCGTCAGTCTAAATCGTTCGGTCCTTTGACGAAGGGCACAGTGGGTCTGTCCAAGTTTCTGGAATACCTGCCCATATCGATTCACAAGGTGTCCAATTCTACTCTAAGGTTCCAAGAAGCTTCTACAAAAATCTAAAACGTTTGGACTACACGCCCGATTCCAATCTACCGGTCCAAGAAGCTTCTACAAAATTCTAAACCGGTTCGCCGTTTCTCTAACGTAGGCACGGGAACCTGGTAGGTCCTGCCCATTTCGGTTCAGCAGATGTCCAACTGGTCAAAGGTGTAAATCGATGGAAAGCTAGTACTAGCGATATTAAAACGTATATGAATATATTAATTGCTGTAAATCGATGGATAAGCCTGAGGCGTGAAAAAATGGGGTAAAAGTAGTTGGTAAGGTATTTTTGAGAAAATTGGTTATCATAACAGACAAGGAGACCGAGGATGGCAACGTGCCTAGACAAGTAAATGAGACAAATGGAAGTAAATACTGTGATTGGATATAAGAACGGATGAGGTTAAACTGGGAATCAGTTGAAAGAAAAAGAGTTGTTCTACTTTTGCCTGGCGAATGAGCGCCTACGTCATTTTATGCGTTTTATGCGTGGGAGTATCGATGGCTCCGTGATGCAGTTTCATTTTTGGCTGGATCTTATCAGGGCCTGTGTCCACCTCCCTTTCTGCAGGAACTCAGGTTTGCAGCTTTTTTTTTTTTTTTCCTTCTCCTTTTTTCATGCTCATCTTCTCTGTATAGATCCAATTTGAATGGATGTCCGGGAGTACGGTGCAGGTTTCTTGGCTCCGGTTTCCTTTTTGGCTGGATCTTATCAGGGCCTGTGTCCTCCTCCCTTTCTGCAGCAACTCAGGTTTGCAGCTTCTTTTTTTTTCTATTTCTTTCATCTCCCTTTTTCATGCTCATCTTCTCTGTATCGTTCCAATTTGAACGGATGTCCGGAAGTACGGTGCAGGTTTCTTGGCTGTGAACGCGATAGTCTTCGCTACGTGCAGTGCGATAGAATGATTTCAACAGCTTCATGGGGGTAGAAGATTTTCGGGCCGTTTGTTCTCACTCACTGCAATACACCTCTCTCCGTTTCCTGCATCATATCCAATTTGAACGGATGTCCGGAAGTACGGTGCAGGTTTCTTGGCTGTGAACGCGATAGTCTTCGCTACGTGCAGTGCGATAGAATGTTTTCTACAGCTTCATGGGGGTAGAAGATTTTCGGGCCGTTTGTTCCCGCTCACTGCAATACACCTCTCTCCCTTTCCTGCATCATATGTTCTCACTCACTATCGGATTTTATTTCATCAGCTTAATCTGGCTGATTTGTGCTAAGGACACGTTCCTTAACGTCATATGTTCTCACTCACTACCGGATTCGACTTCGTGATCCTTTTTTTTCCGCAAAAGAAAGCACGGATTGGCTTGGACACAACCGTCTGGTGGAGCCACCTTCTGACTTGGGTATCTACAATTAACGTGAAAGGTCATTGATGATCTCCCAAAGTATGCGAATCCAAACGTTTAACAATTGCCCTCTTCTCTGTACGTGCTATGACAAGCTGGCGCTTGTGCGATTGGACAAACGAGCATGCAAATATCTTTCACGCGAATGAAGAGAATTGTGAATGAAACGTTTAACAATCACCCTCTTCTCTGTGTGTGCTTTGACGAGCTGGCACCCGTGCAAATGGATAAACGAGCCTGCATATGTACCTGATGGATCTTCAATCCACAACGAATTCAATTACAGAGTAGACTCGAAGGAGGCAAATCCACACAAAACCGGAGAGAAGATATGCACAGTGGAAGCTCAAAGTACACAGAATTGAAAAACGAATTTCAATTTTGAAATCCCTTGTCCTCCTCCAATCAATCCAGAGTACTTGTTCCAAGAATCTCAACCACGTTAACAACGTCCACGGACAGATTATTTTACAAAGTTTCTTCCTCCCTTCTATTCAAGCCCTAGCTATGGCGGCCCAACGCCCAACCCACCAGCCTGCAAAGGGGCAGGGATCGAATCCTAACTAAGCCAAAAATGCAAAACAAAATAAACAAACAGCAGGGCCAGGGATCGATTCCTGGCTTGAACAAAATCAAGACAGACACATCAAACTGGGGAGTTAGTTTACAGCCCGCTACATCTGCAAGTTCATTGCAATCCTACCCTCCCGGGGAGGTAGGATGGCTGAGCTAAGTGTGGTGGCCACGAGGTGAATGTCGAAGGGGTTGCCCCTTTTGTTCTGCTTCGTGCGCCAAAACAACGAACTTGGCTGACTCGAGTTCCTTTCTGGTGTACGAGCAATCTTCTGTGTGAGGCTGGAATAGGAACTTCACCAAGTACTCACAGTTGGGGCCTGTGCCCCACTGATTCAAATCTTCTCAACTCCTACCCCTTCCCAGGAATGGGAGGGCTGAATTGTGGAGACCTGTTCGGATATGCAGCAGCTGGTGTGAAAGGCAGCACCAGCAGGTAAGGCAAGTACGTAGGAGGGTCTAAAAGGATCACCCACTGTGTCCAAAACCTGCCAGGGTCCATAGTAAACAGGCAACAACTTGCGCGAAATATGCTGTTCAGTAGACAGTTCAACTCTTTTAACCCAAACTCAATGCCCAGAGTGAATAGGAGAAGGGGCACGGTGTTTATTAGCTTGCTGAACCATTCGGTTTCGCGCTTTAAACATATTGTGTTTGGCCTTTTCCAAGTCCTTCCCATGACTCTTGGCAAATTCTGCAGTGCCAGGAGTTAATATGGGTTGGGCCTTGTTGATCAAATCATCTAGGGGTTGCCGTGGGTCTCTAGCGCAGTGCAGTTTGTAGGGCGTGTACCCTGTAGTATTGTGAACAGAGGTGTTGTACATTAGCTATGCCCTGGACAGATGTTTGTTACAGTCCTGCTGATCAGGGCTGATCACAGGACTCAGCAGCTGAAACATGACTTGGTTCATCACTTAAGACTGTCCATTGGCTTCAATATGTCTTCCAGAGGTCTTCAGTCTAGAGTGCAGGTAGTATTTGCAAAAAGACTGCGATTCCTCGTTGCAAAATTTGGGATCTCTATCACTAACAATGGAGGTTGGGCAACCATGGACATTCACCAACCTCTCAAAGAAGAGCT